TTAGTTTCATAATCATGAATTTTAAATATCAATAACATTGTATATGTATAAATTTTTAACACGGTAAAGAAACAATATAATTCTGACATTTTAATAATTTTATTTAATATATAAACATTAATCTTTAATATTCAATTTTACAATCAAATATTCAATAGCATTTTACATGTATAAAATTTTAACACTGTACACACTTTTACTGCTCTTATCATAAATAAATGTTTTAAAACTAAATGTATAGGCTGTTTTAGTATTATTTAACTTTTTAATAGTGCTTGGATGTCTTATTGTAAACCTGTATTAAGAGACTCCCTGTCTTATGTGACCTTCTTAAGAAAGTCCCATGTAGGGTCACATAAGACAGTTTTGACTGTATATCTGCCCTGTGTTACATGAGCATAATTAATAATCAATGCAAATAGAAATTCTTCTGGCTTAAATATATATTTTTATACTACATAAAATGTAATTATCACATTGTTCCAGTCAATATGTCAAACCAATAAACTGAATAATTCAGTCAATATAGTGCTATAGTTTATAGCATATACAATATACTTATATGATAAACCAATTATTGTCTGTAAAAAACCTGGATGTTGACCAAAAAACTGACACTCTGATAATTGATAAGATCTGGGCTTTATTCACTGCAACGGGCCCTTTCTTTAAATTTGTAGGAAAATTACAGTGATTTTTTGCAAAAGAGCTCGAACACACTAGTCCAATTTATATGACGTTACAGGCTTTAAAGTTTATGTCGGTCAAGCCCAGAAGCAAAAGTATCTCAAAGCGACGTCATATTAATAAGACTAGAGCTTATACTGCCTCAGACACATAAATGCTTACATCAAAGGTAAAAAAAATCAACAACACATATTAAATGTCAACAGCAATTCTGTGCTAAATACATGACATTAAAGTTTGGCAAATAATCATTTGTCATCTGAAATTGAAATTTCAAAGGCAAAATTATGCTGAAAATGATATTTCTCTTTCATATAATAACGTTTTTAAAATCATGTCCTACCATTTTTAAAGAGCTCACTAATGACTATGTCTAAAAATATTTATTGAAAAAATACATGTAGATCTAGTCAGCTTCATAATGTGAAAGTCAGGACTGTTAAAAAAAATCTCTTTTCAATTAATAACAATTGCCCACAATACCAAATTCTAAAACAAATCAAATCATGCAATTCACTGATTTACATTTTCCATGAAACATTTTTAAAATAAAAATATATATTCTATAACTTACTCTCGCTGCTAACAATATAAGATGGAATACTTGATTTTCTCCAAAGACTTCGTTCCCCGGTAGCCATTTCTGTCTAATAATTCATAAATCCTTCTTAAATATATCACAGATATACCTCTTGTGTCTATGCTGGTGAAGCTGAAGAGTGTCAAATTTTCCCGCCATTTCAGAGTTATCGCCTCATTCGGAGCTGCCTCGGCTATTATCTATAATACCTTATCCGAAGACTTACGGAAAGGGCCGAGTAGTTGCGATTGTTATCGCCTCATAATATATATTCGGCTTAAAACGTAAGCCACGGAAACACGCTCGTAACAACACTCATGAACCATGTACACCGTACTGATCTGTTAAAATTCGCCAGTCTCAGCATGCACAGAGACGATAAGAAGCTCAAAAAATAGAATATTTTCAAACCGGACCCACAATCTTAAAATATAGTCTGTGGCATGCAGGAAATTTATTTTTAATAAATTGATACAGTTAACAAACAAAAAAACAGCAAAAAACAAACAAAAAGCGACAAAACATTAATACCAATGTTATCATAGGATTTAAAATGAAAAAACTGCCAAGTGTTGGAAACATACCTACTCACAATGATAACAGATGTAGATCAACTATTGCAAAATTGTATTGTATTGTATTGTTGTGTTGTGATGTACGTGCTGTGCTGTGCTGTGCTGTGCTTACTCTCCTGCGCATCGGTCGATGTTCCACTATCGCTCACTTTGAAGTAACGTGAGTGTAGTCAGTGAGCTGCGAAGGGAGTGTATGCTGTGCTATATTGAATATAATCACAAAGACCGGTATGACTGAGTGATTAATTACAAAGCATTTGAACGATAAACCGTGTATTATTATATTTTATTACACGATATCGTGTAATGCCTTATCGCGTTCATACGTGAATAGTATGTAACGTGTTTGAATTCGTTCTTTTTTTTCTTCTTTTTTTTAACGTTCCAAGACAACGCCTTTTGAATTATACATTTTTTCCCATCATATTTAAGAAAAACCTCAAGTAAATATTTATGCTAGCGAATGGATGCAAAGAAGTCCTGAAAAATTAAGTTATAAGCTAAAAGTGTGTCAATGTAAACTGGTTATAATGTTATTTTGAAAATATGAGTATATCCATTCGTTAATGCAATGTAAATGAGACTTCCGGTTTTAGGTTTCAGCTGGGACCAACGCTTCTGAAAGCTCATTTCATATCCAAATTGGCCGATCCATATGTCAACATGAGGTCATAAAATTTCAAATGAGTAAAACGTCTTTACTTTATTATGTTTTGTGGAAAGGCACTGCTTAAGACCGATATATTTTACTGTACACTGTACAATTTAGAGTTGGTGCATTTTTACATAATTTCAAAGCCTTGCCTAAAGATCTCGAATGGATTCATTATTTGAATCCGAATATACATTTGAGAATGTATCAGCAATTTGTCTGATATTAGGTATTTAATCAATACATATCTTTTCCAAGGTTCTTATAGTTTAAAATTAAAGTGCATATGAATATGAGCCGCGTCACGACAAAACCAACATAATGGGTTTGCGACCAGCATGGATCCAGACCAGCCTGCGCATCCGCAGGACTGTTCGCTATCAGTTTCTCTACTTGTTATAGGGTTTGTAAGCGAACAGCATGGATCCTGATCAGACTGCGCGGATCTGGATCCATGCTGGCCGCAAACCTACTATGTTGGTTTTGTCGTGACGCGGCTCATATAACTTTTGTTGCGATGCTAGCGATATTGATTTGGTTTGGTGGTAAAATTTTGTGAAAACTCTGTATTTTGAGTCCATTTAGCGACATTTTCTTCATACGCATTGCATGTTTTGGGCACACCAGAACCCACGACGGAAAAAAAATTATCTAGATTAAAACTGCATAAAAATCCGGAACAAAAATGGGCAAATATAGAGGAAGTCAGGAGGGTAGAATCACATTTCGATTTTCTTTTTAAAAAAGCTTTGAATTCTAAAAAACTGTTTGAAAAGTTGAAAATTTACCCTGTGATTGACCTATTTACTGCTTCACATATCTTAGGAGGGGAAATTCACATATATTGTTAACTGTAATACGATGCTCAATTTTGAGATTCAGAATTATGTTGTTCCTTGACCAGGCCTCAAGTTATTTAATAAAGAAAACTTTCGTGTATCATGACAATTTAAAACAGGGCACCTGAGTAAATATTCAATAAAAGTAAACGCGTATACTTTAATGTCCATACTAATGTTATGGCCAAATCGTTATAATAAAACTTAAAGCGAAGGTGGCACCTTTTTGCTTCCGTAGATTCCATATTTATTTATGGCCTCAATACTTTTGTGCGAATTTTCCAATTATTATTGAAATTTTGAATTCTAATTTCTGAGCAGCTGGGTTTCACGTTATTTTTCTTGCCAAAATGTTTTTAGAATATACGAAAAGTTAAATTTGTAAGGCAGGTAAGAAAGACAAAATCATGCATGCAAAAACACATAACACAAATATGCAAGAGTCAAATGCTTTTTCAAAGATGGTCGCGCAAAACTTTCCTTCAGTCACATTTTGAATGTCACATTTTCGATTGTTCATGTGATTTAAAGACCTCCATTCAGTACCCATTGATTCGGTCTGAGTCTGAGACACAATTGAGTTGGGGTCTCTGTGAAAAAGCTTTAAAATTTGAGTGCATCCATAGGGTATCTCTTCGAAATAACACTGTTCATTTATTTATAGTCACATTCCTCCCCATAATGTTTTTTTTTCTTCTTCTCTACAACGTTTGTTTATTGTTTGTATTCTTTTATATAAGTTTCACATTGGCCAAATTCTTTAACCATCTTTTTCATATGTTGCTTTAATCAAAGCAATTAGTGCAGATATCGTGATGGATGTCAAAATATTACTTTATTGATATATTAATTGCTACTTTTAAGACAAGTAATTCTACATTAAGCGGTTACAAGCTTTTAACATTTCTTAAATGTTATAAAACTCATGTTTGCCCTTCCTAAAGAAGTAAAAATGTTGTCGTTTTTTAGGCTTGTAGTGCTTATTTATATATTTATAAATGAAATATTAAGAAATATTGATGAAATTAAATGCGTATTTTTATTTTCCGTATTTTCATTGTAAAAATTCATTTTTCACTGTAGTGAAACATATTTTTCGTATTTTCACTGACTACTTTCTTTTAAATTCTGCCAGAATTGTAAAGTGTCAAAACAGAGACAAATTTATATAATAAACAGAAAATTCAAGTTTTTCCTACCGCCACTCATGAAATATTTATTTTCATACCACTCGATGATAAAAAAAAATATGTATTTATAGAAAAAAAAACACTTGAATATCCTCTATTTATTTCTATTAAATTGTTATCACGTGTAGTAATAATTTCAATATTAATTGTACTGTCTATGGCCATGTAAAATACATGTTATTTAAATTATTACAGTACTTTAATTTATTTATACCAGCTTTTACATGACTAACTTGATTATACTGTCCCAGGAATATATCAAATTTAAACATGATTAATACCAGAGACTTTTATTATTTAAATATAGAGCTCTGTATTAATACGTGAAATATATTGCAAAGTTAGTAAAAATTTTCCTTATATGACAATTTTCTATTTCGGATCTATTTATAGATATTCATCTTTCCTTTTGGGAGACTAGGATTCCACCTTCTATTTTCCTTTCCTAATGTACATATTCACGACAGTGGTTGTTTCCATTGACATTCGAGAAAGAGGGCGCTGCTTTGCGCATGTCAGTTGAAAACTTCCGGGTAGAAAAAAAGAAGACAGAAACGAAAAGTGGCTGAAAACTAATCTATAATTTAACCTTAAATAACTCCCTCACAGTAAATGGCTCTTAAAAGAATAAATAAAGTAAGTGTTGGATGATTGAAGGATACCGTATTCTTAGCACATAATTGTCAAATTTGTGATGAAATCGGACTTGAACACGCCGGGTTTTTGTCGACCTCAGTACGCCCGCCATTTTGAGTGACTAAACTTCTCGAAATTGCTTGGAAAAATCGTGTTTAGTTAGCTAATTTAAAAGTTAATCGTCAGTTATTCATTTTTCTTATATTTATTACCATAATTTTTAATATTTCGTTATTACGTGGTCAAAAATTCGACTGTGTGTATGGAATCGAAGTGTAAAAACGAAAGTTTATGAATAATTCATATAAATTTTATTTTCATGAAATTACTTATTTACGTATTAAAAAAAGACAGTTATTTATTTACATTGTTAGGCAAACATTTTGTGTTTGAAAGGGGTTGTTTGGTATATCAATAAGATCTTTTGGCCTGAGGGCACAATTTCATAAGTAAAGGGGAAGTTAACCTGGGAATGTGGAGGAGTCAGGAGATTGAGGTTTTTTATAGATAGATCAATATCTTGAGAGTATTTTCATTTAGTATAAGCCAATTTCAAAATTTTCATCCATGATGATTTTCCCTCAGGCACATCAGGCCAGACTCCTTGCCAAACTACTTCTAGTCTGAATTAAATCAGAATTATACAAATGTTTTTATTTCTACACCACTGAAGATAGAGAAACATGTAATTTGAATGGCATGTGAAATGGATTAAAGTATGAGTGTGACCATATCTATAAATTATAATTATAACATAAACTGATTCTAAGGTTTAGTATCAGTGACACATTTCAGAAGATTGATATAAGATCTAGTAGTGAATTATTTTAAATCAAACTTTTTAAGTTTAATTATATTTGTAGTAGAAATAATGTCAAGGTGGACTAGAGTATATTATTCACGAATTCGAAAACCTAGCAGCGTTTTTTTTCTCTACTTTGGGAATGGTGCCGGTACCAGACTGATTGGGAAAAAATGCGTTGTTTTGACTAAAATTGGGAATTTTTTTAATGCATTTTTTCAGCTACAAATGAGATTAGACATCATGAATAAAGATAGCTAACAGCTTCTACTGTCTAGATAGAACTATTGAGTGGTGATTTATATGAATATGTTGGATTTAAATGATTTTAGAAAAATCACTTTGTCGTGTGGGCATTTTGAACAGTCATTTTGGGAATTTAACATTGGAAATTGGGAATTTTAATGTCTATTTTCTATTGGGAATGGTACCGTTTAAGGGTAGTAGTTATATAAAGAAAAAAAACACTGCCTAGCTAAACGCTGTTTTCTGGTACTTTCCATACAGAGCTCTGGGGAATTCACCTGATGGAGTGTAATAGCGAACTCAATGTTTTCGGCCTTTTTTAAAATGAAATTGAAATAAAACAGTTATTTCTTTTTAAGAAAAGAAATAAATATCATTGTATTAATAATTCCAAACAAAAAAGGAAGTAAGTACGCAAATTTACCCAGAAAATAACCTTATTTATTATGTAAGATTCCACTACGTCTGTTTTAATTTTATTGATTTTTATTATAAACAATTTATTTTTTGAAAAATTTGCAATAGATATTAAAGGAATATTGATAATTTTAAAAAACATCAATTTTTTCACCTTAAACGGTAAAATAATGATAGAAAAATAAAAATATCATGTAACTGTTACTACTTCATTTGGTGTAATTCCCCAGAGCTAAATCCATAATGTACCGGAAAACGGTGTTTAGCTAGGTTTTCGAAAAGGTCAATTGATCACAATTGTTTACTATTTCAAAAATATCATTGTGAAATGAAACTTTCACTTTTCTTTCTTTAGCTTTTCTTTTCACCTTTTACTAACAATCCTACATGCACTTAATTCCTGCCTATAACACTTGTAAGAGGGGTTGCCGTTGGCAGTATCCAGAGATAGAGATAGATAGATTTCTTAGGGGAAAAAATCACTATTTCATCAGTTCAATCACATTTACATTTGTTTGCTTTTCATTTCAAATTCCATATAAATTATATCAACCAAGTGGTCATCTGAATTTTATTGCATCATGACATATTAAAGTGAATAATTAAAACAACAAGAAATTAGGATGAAGTAGTACAGTATCAATTTATCTTCATTATTCGATGCATTTTTTGTCAAAATGGTTAAGGGGTTTGGGCCTGTTTATTTTGTGAAAGAAAGCACGATATGTCATTTATAACATTGTGAAAAATAGACATATTTACCATCGCAACCTTTTCAAACCGAAACGGGTGCATTGAAAGTTTGATTATAATTTCTGACCTGTGTAAACAGTAAAATCTGCTTCAAGTCGGTACTTTAACCCGGTAAACATGCGCAAATACCAGTGTTTATGCTAGGATTAGGATTAAAAAAAACGGGATTTTTTATCAAAAAATGAGAATTTATTACATTTGTTGATCTTTTTCCTTCTTTATGTAAAACTTCCCCCCTGCCTCTGAAAATATAGGGGGAATTCTTAAAAATACGAGTGGATCCCCCTCCTAGAATAGATACTGATACCATTTAACTTGATTAAAACTATTTCATTGTTTGCAATTGGCGAAAATCAAGTTTTACAGAAGGTCGACAATAAATCTTGAAGATTAAGTCCCAATATTTTGTGAAATCTGTTTTAAGTTGTGATTTTTTTTGCCGCTTTGTGAAGAAAGTGCAATTTTGAATTGTGAAGGGGATGAACATTTGGCCCTGTTATAGAAGGAACAAATGCAGTCATTGGTATTATCAACCCAAAGAGTATCAGAAAACATTATTTTTCCTTTTGATCAGAATTCTGATTATGGTAGCAAATAAGGACTTACAAAGGGGATCCTTTGTAATGTATTACAATTATGTATGTGTTATGGTAATGACATTAAGCAGGCAGTGTACGAAATTTGGATTTGAATCCACTAGCCTGGTCGGGCTACCAGATTAGAATATTCACTAGTCCGAAAGACATTTCACTAACCCGAACTTTAAAAACCTTTAAATATCACAAATGCACTATAAAACATACAGGTTTACTCTACTGACACCTTTGCTTGTAGGAAGGAACAAAAAAGAACATTGTCAGGTTTCAAAAATTTAATATTCCAGAGTTATTTCATTTAAAAGAATAATAATTTATCCTCTGAAAATAAATTCATGCTCTGGTATAAAGAGACAGAAGTCTGTCGATTGCAGATTCTGAATAGTCCATGAAATGGGCTGTTCTCATTTTAATGTAAAGCTGGCCAATTTGAGATTTATTCAGCTGTGTCGAGCATGAAGTCGCTTCTGATGTCCATTTTTAGCTCGACTTTTTTTTTTTTGAAAAAAAAAGTAGAGGTATTGTTATAGTCAGGTCGGCGTTGCCGTTGCCGTCCGAAAACTTGTACCTGGATCATAACTTTTTTATTTCTTGGTGTATTGTCTTCATACTTGGCCACAACAACCCTTGGGACAAGACCTTTCAGTAGACCACACTAACCTTGACCTTCATCCATAAATGACCTTGACCTTCAAGGTTAAAAGTCCAATTTTTGCTTGTTCATGCTGTTATTGGCTGTAACTTTGTTATTTTTGAATGGATTGTCTTCAAACTTGAACATGATAATCTTCAAGGATATCCCTTAAAAATAACCAGTCAGACCTTGACCTTCACTTATAAATGACCTTGACTTTGAAGGTCAAATTATTGAAATTTTCATTTTTTTGGCTATTATTGGCTGTAACTTTGTTATTTTTGAATGGATTGTCTTGAAACTTGAACATAATAATCTTCAAAGATAACTGTTAAAATATACCGAAAGACCTTGACCTTCACTCATTAATGACATTGTCTTTGAAGGTCAAATTATTGAAATTTTCATTGTTTTGGCGGTAACTGACTGTAACTTTGCTATTTTTGAAGGGATAAACTTCATATTATAACAGAACATTCTTAAGGACCAGACCTTGTTGTTTATCAATCCCAAATTTGCTTGGGCTCTTTAATGACCTTGACCTTGAAGGTTATATTACTGAATTTTCTCAGATTGTGCATTTATTGGTGTGTGTGTATGTATAGTATATGTATTATATATATATATATAAATGTGTGTGTTGTGTATATATATATATATATATATATATATCAAATAGATATATATATATATATATATATATATATCAAATAGATATATATATATATCAAATAGATATATATACATACATTATATATATATATATCATATTATATATATATATATATATATATATATTATATCAAATATATATACATATATATATATATATACATATATATATATATACATACATATATATATATATGCATGTATATATATATATATATATACACACACACACACATATATATATATATATATATAAATTGCGTCATTTTTTCTATTTTTAGAAATTGCGTCTTTTTTTTCTATTTTTAGAAATTGCGTCATTGTTGCTATTTTTAGAAATTGCGTCATTTTTTCTATTTTTAGAAATTGCGTCATTTTTTTCTATTTTTAGAAATTGCGTCTATTGTTGCTATTTTTAGAATTTGTTGCTATTTTTAGAAATTGCGTCATTTTTTTATTTTTTAGAAATTGCGTCATTGTTGCTATTTTTAGAATTTGTTGCTATTTTTAGAAATTGCGTCATTTTTTCTATTTTTAGAAATTGCGTCATTTTTTCTATTTTTAGAAATTGCGTCATTGTTGCTATTTTTAGAAATTGCGTCATTTTTTCTATTTTTAGAAATTGCGTCATTGTTGCTATTTTTAAAAATTGCGTCATTTTTTCTATTTTTAGAAATTGCGTCATTTTTTTCTATTTTTAGAAATTGTGTCATTGTTGCTATTTTTAGAATTTGTTGCTATTTTTAGAAATTGCGTCATTGTTGCTATTTTAGAATTTGCGTCATTGTTGCTATTTATAGAAATTGCATCATTTTTTCTATTTTTAGAAATTGCGTCATTGTTGCTATTTTTAGAAATTGCGTCATTTTTTTCTATTTTTAGAAATTGCGTCATTGTTGCTATTTTTAGAAATTGCGTCATTTTTTCTATTTTTAGAAATTGCGTCAATTTTTCTATTTTTAGAAATTGCATCATTGTTGCTATTTTTAGAAATTGTGTCACTTTTCTATTTTTAGAAATTATGTCATTTTTTTTGTATTTTTAGAAATTGCGTCATTTTTTCTAGTTTTAGAAATTGCGTTGTTGCTATTTTAAGAAATTGCGTACTGTTGCTATTTTTAGAAATATGCTTAATGTTTCTATTCATATATATACAAAATATATAAAGAAAACTAATGTGACACGACAGACCAACTAAATTTATAAAAAGGAAACGTTAATATATGTTCAAACCTTTCTATGTTTGCGTTTAGAAAAAGTAAAAAGTCGAGCGTTGCCCCCGCCCGGCGGTGGCTCTTGTTCATTAACATGTCTGTCAGCACTACGTAAGTGTTGCTTGCTTTTTATAGTTTTAAGTGTATCAATTCTTGAATTATCCTTTTACGAAAGATGAATTGCTGGTCGGGTTGATTTCCTTACACCAAGTACAAAACATTTTTCCGTTTTCGTGTACTAGCCAATTGCGTGTTTTCTGCCACGATGGCTGAAAATCATGTTCGCGAGTCAATTCATATAAATTCTTTACTTTTGTTTTCGCTGTCTAATTTTCTTTTAACACCAGGTTTTGCCCCGGTGTAAAATTTGAGTGCGAAAGCCATTTTCGTTACTGGATGCTTGATCGGAAATTCCGTGAACTATAATTGATGGAACATAATTCACACTTCGCAGAGTGATCTCCCATTATTACAGTGTACGGCGCGAAATGTGATCGATTAATCATATCATTGTTTTAATTGGGCAATCGAGCAAGCATGAGATGATAACGACAGATAATTCATTCGTTAAAAAAAGTTCTTTATCCAAAATTCTGTAGCCCGGTCGGGCTTTTATTGGTAGTCCGAGGGGAAATTTGGTAGTCACGGGCTATCGGACTACCGCTAATTTCGAACACTGAGCAGGCTAGATAGGCATTATGGCGATTATGCTCATTATTTCATTGTTATGTAGGTGAGCTCATTTTCTTTTTCCCCCTGCAATTTCTGCTTTTATTTTTTCAGGAATTACAGGACTTGGGCAGGGACCCTCCAGCACAATGTTCAGCAGGTCCTGTGGGAGAGGATTGTGAGTATAATATTAATAAGACTGTTCCATATTGTTATAAGGGACTAGTGGTATTATGGTACTGTTATATTTTCAAAAAATATTTCATTAAACACTACAGCACCATCAGATTTATTGAACCAGTAAGTTGTTTTTCTTTGTGGAAAAAAACCCCAGAATTTGAATTGTGAAGAGGCGTTTAATAATAGGGGCCCTATCCTATAACAAAAATTGTCTTGTTATCATATTCAGGGTTTTTTCCCAGGATTTTGGGACATTGACCCATACCCATTGCATTGGGAATTTCAGCAATGTTTTGTTAAAAATTGGAAAAAAATTGCATGACTTAAATTTTGCAGTGATTGCAAAGAATAACTGTCTAGGAAGGCATCTTCAAACTTTTAAACACCATAACAGTGAAGAAGCCCTTTTCTTCCAAGATTAAGAATTTGTTATTCAATATTTTTATTTTGTACATTTCAATTGGGAATTTTTCCTGTGGATTTGGAAAATAATATACTATTTTCAATTGGGAATATGACCGAATATCGGCTATAAAATAAGGGGGGGGGAAAATCCCTGATATTTGTTTGATGACCAGTTATAACTTTTATCAGCTAAATTTAGATGTGTTTAAATGATTTGTTGGACAGCATTAGTTTTAAATCTATTTTGATTTGTTTTTATGTTATGTAGATCATACAGTTAAAACATTTGTAACATAATAAAGAAAAATGAAGATATTTCAAATATGTATGGGAAAAAAACATTGTATCATAGAAAGAAGTGATACTATGTCATGATAAATAGGAGAGCTCAATACACATTAATATAAGGTGGTCATAAGTTGACACATTTTATAGTGGTGACCATTCCCCTTTAAAAAAGGAAGAAATGTTTATATATCCCCTATTTCAGAAAAAAATTCCTCTCTACAAAGAACCAGTAAAAAAACTTACTAGTGTGATGGTGTGAGGGATTAGTCAGGGTCATTCCTCAGCGCAGGACATAAATGCTATTATTGATGTATAGTGGTATACATAAACTAAAAGAGGGCATTTCTTATAGCTTGAAAATATAGTGTTGCATCACAGTCTAACGTAAAGAGGACTATTATCTGGTTTATTTCCTTTCATGGTGCTATTTTCCTCTCCATTTACCCTGGCACCATTCTCATTAAAGTGGAAAAAAGCACTGTGTGGAAACATGTCATATGACTGAAAAGATGCCATGTGACTGAAAATATGCCATGTGACCATAACAGTGTGGTAATAATGACTCGGACCAATTTACAAAATACTGTGCACTATTTAGAACATGTAAATCATTGTTCTTTTCTTTCCATTTCAGTATTTCACTGGCAAGCAACAATAATGGGCCCTGTAAGTACTTATAGATTTTAGAAACCCGAGATGCAAGTGAAAAGTAAATTTTGTTATTAGAATCATTTAAATGGACAAATTAATTGTTATGACTGTCGTTGAATAATTATAAGGCAGTTTAAAAAAAAGTTATTACTTGTACTAGGATGTTATAATTGCTCAATTTTATAGATTTTCAAAATTGTACAGATTTTCAAAAAAGTAAAATTTAATCCAGAGCTATTTAAGAAATGAAAGTAAATATATGGAAGGAAATATACGTATTTTTAGCTCGACTATTCGATAAGAATAAGTAGAGCTATTGTAGTCACCCGAGCAACGGTGTCAGCGTAACCACTTATGTTAAAGTTTTTGTAATACCTACAATATTTTCAAGTCCATTGACATATGGCTTTGAAACATTACACACTTGTTCACCATCATCACCCCAACCTGTAGACAGGAGGAGGTAACTGTATCAAGCATTTTGACAGATTTATGCCCCTTTTTTGACTTTGAATTTACATTAAAGTTTTTGTAATACCTCAAATATTTTCAAAGTCCATTGACATATGGCTTTGAAACTTTGCACACTTGTTCACCATTATAACCCCAACCTGTAGACAGGAGGAGGTAACTCTTTCAAGCATTTTGGCAGAATTATGCCCCTTTTTCAACTTAGAATTTACATTTAGGTTTGCATACCACGTCAGATATTTTCATATTCTATTGAAACAAGTTGAAATTTTATACTCTCCTTTTAGAGCATAAAAGGACTCTCTTGAAGGCCTATAACTGTAACATGGATTTAAAGAAAAATTTTGTCCTTTTGTTATTAACTCAGAAAATTTAACATTATCAAGGCTCTTTTACTATCAACCATTAAGAATAGTCGAGCGTTGCTGTCGTACCAACAGCTTGTGTTTTAATTCAGTATCACTGAAAGATGTGATTCAGCTTGCTTAATTGTTTAGTTTATTTATTTTGTTGAAATGTTTTATTTTAAAAATAGACATTTATGTACTTTAAAGATTATGGTATTCCTAAATATTTCAAAACTGTAATATTGATGACTCATTTATTTTGATAAATTAATACATGAGAGATTACAAATTGACATTATGCTCATATTTTCATTGTCAAGTTGAGCTTAGTTGACTATATTTCAAAAGATTGACTGTCAAAATGGTGTTTGACCAACAGTTGATATTGGAAAATGTTTAGGAAAAAAATATAAATTTGCCTTAAATTTAAAAAGACTGCCCCACTCTTTTAATAATCTAAGCGTTATAGGTAAATTCTAATGGATATTTACAGAAATTTCATTTGGATCTGTGTGTTATTTATTGTTTATGCGACCTTAATTATTAAATTGAAAGGATTAATGGCAAAATGAAAACTTATTTTGATCTTCACCCGTTCACTCACTATATACCATTGGATGGGCATAATGTCACTTTAACATAGGATTTTTCATATCTCATCAATCATGAATAATCTTATTTTATCTTTTTAAAATTTTTTTACATTGTGTGTTTCCCATATCTACAAAGGTGCACAATTTGACAAAGTTCATGTATGATTTGACATGCAGTATCACAGGCTTCC